GTGCCTGGAAAGAGCCGCGCAGTGCTGTTTCGGCACGCATAGGAGGTGAGGTAGGTAGCAAGGATGGCTCCAGTGGATGTCCCGGCGACAACGTCGAAGCACTCGCCAATCGTCAGATTGTCAATTCCCGTTTGGTTTCGGAGCTCGTCCTCCAGGACCTCCAGCACACACGCAGCAACGATTCCACGCACGCCGCCACCGTCCAGGGCCAGGATTGATCGCTTTCTTTTCTGCTTCTGACGCACGCACAGCCAGAGGCACACGTGAACAAAATGGCGAGAGATCTTGTGTTGTTGGCAGCTTGCTACCAGGCTCCAGCACAAGGGCCTTCTCCGTGCATTGGAGGGGAGAAGAGTCTCCACTTTCGTTGCGCCGGGCACAATCTGCATGCTCAACCCACGCGCGATAGCCAGATGACGACCCTGAGTTATGACAAACAGACAACACAGCTTGTGTATTCGTTCTTGCTACATCCTTTTTGGTCCTTGCCTACCCGCAGCCTGGTCTGCGGTCCTACTCCTGACGCAGGCACGAGGGTCCAGAAGCCATGGACAAGGACTCCGACGATCACAACTGCAGCAAGCAACTTCATTACGGCAACACCACTGAGGCTGAGGGCCTCTTGCTTGCTTGCTTATTGTGTTTAACGTCGTCACTCATGTCTGTCTAACCCCGGCGCCATCGGGGATTTTCTCTGTCCGCACCACGCACTAAACCAGCAGCATGCACATGCTAAAAACATGCACACGGCCTGTCTACCCATCCCCGCCCCTGACACACACCACGCACGAACTGAGGAGGTGGCAGGAAGTCGTATGACAAGGCAGATGCCGCTGTCACCTCCCCACGACACAGATACTATTCAGATACGTCGGCCTCGTGGGCCTCTTGCTCTGCTAGCAGGCGGTTCAGCACCTCCGCCACACCTGTCTGACTGTCTAGTAGACATGGATTCAGTGCAAGCCAACGAGCGCGCGCGGCCTGTGTGTTAAGAAGGAAGTCTGTCACTGCAGAGAGCACCGGCAGCTTGTCTGACTGTAAAACAGCGCAGGTAAAAATGGGATGTGACGCCTTCCAACGCCTATAGCTACATGCATCAGGTGCCGTCACCCCATGCTGACTGATCACGTTGTGTACCGTGTCGCGCAGGGAAGCATACAAGGGACAGCATGCAAGCACGTGAGACTCGTCCTCGATGGGAGCGCGAATGATAGGATAGCCAGTCACACTCAGTTCGGAAACGAGCAAGTCAGTTCGGTGTGAACAAAGCAAACGTGCATGCGCAGGTGTGCGCATACAGACATTCAATATATACACACACTCCAAGTCCAAAGGTGCACGCCCAGGTATGCGCACAGAGACATTGAGTATATATTCGCACTCCAAGTCGACACATACATGCGCACACAGACATTCATCATATATTCACACTCCAGGTCGACGGGTGCATGCGCAAGTGTGTTCACGCAAACATTCAGCATATATACACACACACACAGTCCATGTCCACGCGTGCATGCACATGTGTGCGCACATAGACATTCATCATATATACACACTCCAAGTCGGCACGTGCAGCGCAAGTGTGTTCACACGAACATTCATCATATACACACACACACACACTCCAAGTCGGCACGTGCATGCGCAGGTGTGCGCACACAGACATTCATCATATATTCGCACTCCAAGTCGACGCGTGCATGCGCAAGTTTGTTCACACAAACATTCATCTTACACACACACACACACTCTCCATGTCCACGCGTGCATACACATGTGTTCGCACACACCTCCATCTCGCCTCCTCCCGGCTTTGTGTCGTGTTGTGGTGTGTGTGCATGGATGGGGTTTCCTTTATCAAGCACTCAAGGAGGCCCTGTTGCAAGACATCAAAAGGAGGCTCACACCATAGGCCACCGAACTCAGGTCAGCCAGGACGTCACACACTCCCCGCCTGCAAGCCTAAAGACGCAACACTCACTGCACCTTTACAACGAATGTGGTGTGCCGTTGTCATGTTGCGTGCAGGGTGCGAGCCGAGTACTGTCGAGCCGACAATGATCCCTCAACCAACTACCACATCTACTCCTGGTGGGAGTTGCACTTTCACGTTTCGCCAAAGCTCCGATACCTTGTTCCTACTGTTGCTGCATGCCTGCTCCTTTCAGGAACCTCGAACGATGTGTAAGCTCACGCAAAACATCAATACCGTAGCAGTGAAAGCAGAATGAAAGACTAAGCGCAAGTCTCTGACGCTCCATGCTCTGCAAAACTTCGGTTGAACTTGAAAGAAAAGTCTGCAAGATACGATTGGCTAATATCCGTATAGACTTTATGTGACTTTATTTCGTTCTCTTGGACGGCTTTATCATACTGTCTTCGCACAAGTGCCGCCTCCATGCATCGAATTCCACTTGAGGAAAAGTTACAACGACAGACAGAACAGCGCCTGTTCGTCAGCTCCACTAAGAGCTCTACCATGTGTCGATGTCAAGGATTCAAAGCTTTCAGATAAGATTGATCACAACGATTCAATGCATCCCTACTCCATCCCTCTCACTTTCTTCACTCTCCCTTCTCCTCTTGTCTTCCTCTTTTCACTCGACAACAAAAAGAACTGAAGCAAAAACCAGTAAGGATGCAGCAGCTTGAATAAGGCAATCCGCACCCTTCCTCAAGACACAAAGCAATGGAGCAGACTGAGAAGCAACAGTATACAAATCCACAGGAGAAAAGAGAGCTTCGCAGCTGTCTCCAGAAGCTGAATCGACACATCTCTAGCTTCAGATATCGACTCTACTTTACAGTCAGTCAGTCATGTGAAAGATTCAAAGCTTGAGTATGCACTGATGCTTTGACAACGCATCCTTGCTGCATCCATCCCTCACACTTTCGTCACCCTCTCTTCTCCCCTTGTCTTCTTCGCATCATTCACTTGACAAAAGACGGAACTGAACCAAAAATCAGTGAATATGCAACGCGCTTATTCACCGTGAATCCTCCCCCAAAAACCCCTTCCCCCCACCGACAATCTGCAAGTTGAAACCCTGGGAGTACTGACTAAGAGCAGCACAGATGCAGAGAGAGAAGCAGACATGCAAGGTGTCATGCCTCTCACTGGTTTTTTGAGAGGCAGAAGCAGAATGTAGACAACGACGAAAAACATGTGTATGCCACTCTCTCCTCCTCATTCACGCAGTCATTCCCC